TCAAATTTGGAAGCATTGGAAGCATCATTGGCACAGATCATGCCCGAAGCAGCTCGTCGAAACTCACTGGAACCGAAAGATAGAATTATTGTCACGCATCGGTAGGATATTATGAAGGTAATAATTTAGGATTCAGGGTCTCATCGAACGATGTCGGGATATACAGTAGACAACTTGAAGAATGGACGTGTTCGTATTAAGCTTAGAGAATACATAATGCATAGCAGTTGTGTCTGCTTCTGACATAAAAAATTAAAACCAACTAACCCTTTGGTTTATAAGGGCTGTAAAGTAACACATCTTCACGCTCTGGAGCCTCTTCCATAACAGATAGTTCATTATGTCCCTTATCTAGCTGTGATGATTTCGGATATCGACTGGTATCCGGCAACTCTTGATATGCATCAGGTGCAGGTTGTGGATAATAAGAATCCGCCGGCAATTCCACAGCAAAGCTTCTACTGTGCTGGTGTCCGTACTGCGGCGGAAAGGTATGTCCAGGAGACATCGACCCCAACTGCGAGTCCGTCGGCGATCGCGGTCCCCGAGACGACGAGGACCTCGACATTTGATCTGACTGTCTCCGCGACGAATGCGACAGCTCCCTGGCAATTCTGCTCGATCGGTCGGCCGGATTATATGTCGTCAATTTGCCATCCTCCATCATAGCCTGCAAGACACCAGCATCAAGAAGCTCAGCTTTCTTAATCAGACGATCTACCAGCACCTTCGAAGCGACCTTCAACTGACCCTTGACGAAAGAAATCAGCGTGCGGTTGCATTCGATCTCGATATCTTCGCGCAGATAGAGTCCGGTTTGTGGGGCGCCATCTGCGCGCCCGTCTTGTGGTTCGGGTGGTTCGTCGCGCTGGTTACCTGCAATGCGCCATTTGCTTCGGAGGTCGATTCCCATCGGCGCGTACATGTGCGTCTGTAGACCCCATGCGACGTTGTGGAAACAGCCTTTGAAGCTGATCTTGCCCGACCCTATCTTGCCCAGCCCCGGGACGTATTGCACTCGTTCTGTGATCTCGTACCACGTCGAGTAGTACTCGTCGGCGACGGCATTGCGTGGAGCCCTGATGGGTTGATGTGAGAGGACGAGTGGGTTTAGTGTGATGATTTCGTTATGGCTGTGTAGGATGTCGAGGGCTAGTTGGCGGGGCACAGACGAGGGGATGGGCGTGATATTGGTATAAATCTCTTTTCGGCGCATCATTTTGAATGATTTAGTCTGATATATACAAAAAATCGCGGAGGGGGGAAGATAATTCTAAAAGTACAAGGCTGAATTGAAGTCGCACTCGTATTTCATCAGCTTACTATTTTTAAAGTTGCGGCCTAGTCGACTCAGGGTAAGACATTGCACATGACAGAATCAGCACTAAATGTATTATATACGCGAGCCATTTGAAAATAATACACTGGTTGGTATAACATAAATCCATTTACATCGTGTTTACTCTTTACTTCAGTTCCCACTTATCGCCCTCGGAGATAATCTCCACAGGCCGCCTCTCATCCAGCGACTTGCGTCCTGCATCGAGGATGGCCGTTGTGGCGATTGTATTACGCAGAGTGGGCAGCGGGCGGGCGTCCAGTTGGTCGAGGGTCACACGGCCCTCGTTTACAGCCGTGACGGCATCGATGAACTTCTCGAAGCTGATGTAGCCGTATCCAGTCTGCCCACTGAAGTTTCCTTCTTCGTCGGGAGCGTAGCGCATATAGAATCTAGCACATTATAGTCAGCATAGAACGATGTGATAGCATTACCATGAGAATTGGGGTCTTACGGGTTGTAATGAATTAGACCCTGGTCGTCGCTGGTCACTTCATAGCCACGCTTGGCCTGGTTAATGCGGATCTCGCCGTTGGCAGCCATATCTGTTCCAATGTTAGAAGATGTCTGTTTACTGCCGGAGAATAGAATAACATACAGTGGAAGTACTGGTTCGAGTGAACGCCCGCATTTTGAGGTGCCGTCCAGCTAGCAGTATAGACACCAGTGGCAATCTTCGCTGGGTTATCACGGCGGCGCCACTCCACGAGGAGTGTGATGGTATCCTCAGTCTCGGGGACACATCCAAGCGCAGCAGCGGTACCCTGAGATGCAGTTGCTGAGACCCGCACAGGCTTGTAATCTGGAACCATGCTCTCACAGATATCAATGTGGTGAGAGTTCAGGTAGTAAGAAATATCAGAATCACGACCAGCCCACGCCTTGAAGGTCTCGAGCTGGCTCTTAGGCTGGCTCATGTAACTATAGAAGTAGTTGAAGTCACCGAGAGTCTTTGCCTTAGCCCGCGCATCAGAGTATGCAGGGTCAAAGCGCTTGTGGTGTTCGACGAAGACGAAGACGCCATGCTTGCGCGCGACCTCGACCAGAGCTAGATGGTCTTCTAGCCGCTGGGTTGCTGGCTTGGTGATCAGCACGTGGTGGCCGCGCTCAATTGCGTACAGCGCAATGGGATAGTGGGTTGAGTCGGGGGTGAAGATGGTGATGGCGGATCCTTTGGGGAGGGCATCAATGGCGGTCTTGTATGCGTCGGGGTCGGTCTGGTCGTCCGCGGGGAACGAGGCGAACGAGGTATCGAGGTTGTTGTAGACTTGAGAGATATTACGGTGCAAATGGTCACCTATTCTCGTGATTAGCTTCCTGTTTACTTTCTTGTTCTTTCACTGAACTTACGGATCCCAGGGAACTTCTTGCCCGACACGCCCACCATGCTCAAGTCGCCCACCTTACCCCGCCGACGCAGGTCGAATAGACTGAGGCCTACTACACCGACCTTCTTGTCTGAGCCAGATGCACCACCGCCGACGAAACCGGTGGTGTATTCACCAGTACCGACCTGCGAGTTCAGTTAGCTTGAGATCTGCTGCGGGGAACCATTGTCCGTACCATCAAAACGCTAGGAGGAGCCATGATGTCTGTTAATTCCGAAATGGTGATTGAATTCCGGGGAATTTCTAGGGGGAAGAGGAAAATTTAAACTAATTTACAGGAAACCGGGGTATTAAATCGCTGGATATAATTCTTCCGGCATTTGAAATAACCCTGGGGTAAATTCAATAGCCGTATCTTCATCCACCATGGTTTTAACGCCAGTTGACCACTTTTCAAGCTCATTTTTCCTTTCGAGACATAGGGATTTCCATGCGCATATAGACTATTATACGTACGACTCAAGATCGCAAGTGATTTATCACCCGCTAGACTAATGGCCTTTTCAACGCCGGCTGAAGTGCGTCTTTAGCCATCTTTACCCGTCGCTTTTACCCCTCCTGTCCCCCACATTCTGTATGCTTGCGCTGATTGGTGGAATTTAATTCTCCACCATACAATGTACCTCGGGGCATTTGCCGGACGTGGGGGAAGAGAACTATGCTCCGAAGGCCAATGACGTTTTAACCGCTATATACCCCTCAAGTCCCAAGTAGATCAGTTAGGTCATTTCTCTAATATCAACAACATCAACATCAACCAAAATCCAATAATCTCAGAATCATGTCTCCCACCCCACTCCGCCCCGGCGTTTACGCGCCGACAATGACCTTCTTCGATGCCCAGACCGAAGATCTCGATATCCCCTCTATTCGCCGTCACGCTGTTCGTCTAGCCAAGGCTGGCCTAGTCGGCCTGGTTACCATGGGCTCAAACGGCGAGGCTGTGCATCTCAGCCGCGAAGAGCGCAAGACCGTCAATCGGGAGACCCGGTCTGCTCTCGATGAAGCTGGTTTCACCAACGTGCCCGTCATCGCCGGCGCCAGCGAGAACAGCATCCGCGGAACCATCGACCTGTGCAAAGAGGTTGCGGAGTCCGGCGGCGAGTACGTTCTGATTGTGCCTCCTAGCTACTACCGCACCGCAGTCGGCAATGATGAAACTCTATACGAATACTTCACAGCTGTTGCTGACGGCTCCCCTGTTCCTATTATCCTGTACAACTACCCCGGTGCCGTCGCTGGCATTGACATGGACTCCGACCTCATCATCCGTATCTCCGAACACCCTAACATCGTCGGCACCAAGTTCACTTGTGCCAATACCGGCAAGCTGACTCGTGTCGCTACCGCTCTCGGCGCCATCACCCCTCCCTCCCCCTTGGCTCCGGCCCAGCGTACCGCAACAGTCTCCAAGCCAAACGCCAAGCACGCATACGTTGCCTTCGGCGGTATCGCCGACTTCAGTCTGCAGACCCTCGTCTCTGGCGGCTCTGCCATTCTTGCCGGTGGCGCGAACGTTCTTCCCCGCCTGTGTGTCCGCATCTTCACTCTCTGGTCCGAGGGCCGTCTCACAGAGGCCATCGAGGCCCAGCAGCAACTCAGTGCTGCCGACTGGGTTCTCACAAAGGCTGCCATTCCTGGCACCAAGGGTGCTATCCAGTCATACTACGGTTATGGCGGGTTCCCTCGCCGACCTCTCAGCCGTCTTACTGATACCCAGTACCAGGCCGTTGCTGATAAGATCAAGCCTGCTATGGATGTTGAATTGAGCTTGCCCGATGTGGCATAATGGCTTGGGAAATCGCAAAGAGCTTCATCTAAAGTCTAGTAAAATAATTCAATGCATATATCAAGTTTTATGACATATATTTTGTTGCCATGAGTTTACAACGTTAGTTGCCTATATTGTAGAGGCAAATAGTTATCGCGGCCTGAGGCGCTTCGACATTACAAAGCCCTGCATCATTCAAGTTTATCTGATTTCCCAAACTGGTATAGTTCATGAAAATATACTTTACTCTTAATTCCACGGCGGAGTACGTCCACTGGGACAGTTCAGCCTGGTATTTAAGGAAACGGACGAGCTTTTGGTTGGGGCTTAGTACATTAAATCAATCTTACAATCCTAAATAAGTTGTTCTTCTCAACCAACTAGATATGATCCTAGGTATACATACAATCTACTTATTATAATTACTAGCCCAAGATTTCTCCTCATGATCCTGCCATATATCCTTATTGTTCAACATCTCTGCCTCGGACAAACTACCAAAATGGGCGATACTCCCGTAAATACAACCCCCCAATTTTGGTGCTTTATCCTGAGATGGGAAAGACTTGAACAAATGCTTGTCTCCATGAAGAAAATAACAACCTCCTCCATCCCCCAGCGGAGTCTACAGCTTCTGCGAATTGATCTCAATCATCTAGACATTGCTTCTGGGATAACTTCGCCTTCGGTCACGCATTATTTCATGCCACGAAGAGGTACACCTAGGATAGAGAAGATATGTGCAGATCCAAGCTGGGACTGGTTTCTATCTCAAAAGGGCAACTACGGCAAAGGAACTTACCGTGCAGACTATCTACTTCGACGTGTTTTCATGGACTATCAGGACTGCAGCATTCCGGAATTTTGGCCCTACGAGCTGGATGGAGCGGAGGGTGAAGAAGAAGAGAATTATGATGATCCTACTGTTCATGAGTCGGGTCGCCTTGATAGCACTGAAGGCGACAAGGTGAGCGATGGAAAGGACGACCCGGATCATAAGAGGGGAAGCGATAGCGAGGAAATACACAGTGACAAGGCACAGGAAGGGGAAAGTTTGAACTCCAAAAAATATGATGAGAGTGAGGAAGATGGCGACAAGAGCAAAGAGAGCGGTGACGAGAATCGCAAACCAAGTGATGAAAGTCATGATAAAAGCGAGAAGGAAGCAGATAATGACCATGAGATGGTGATTGCGAATACTTTCGACCTGGATATCCTCAATTACGAGACAGATGACTGGTCAGTCTACTGGTATGTGGTACATTGATATTGGGGGATGTGACATTTGTATTATTCAGGCTGATCAATTTTATGCAGGTTCCAAAGACTATACGGCCTCGATCTCCCAGACAAAATACACGGAATCAATATCACAAGATCAATGGAGATAGATAACCCATACAAATCGCATGCATGGGCTCTGGTAGATGTAACCTCGTGTGGTTACGATCGCCCCTCGACTGCTGAGCTCATAGCCTTGGTCAGCTGGGGTTTGAGAGGCATGTTCCGTGAATTCGAATCGCTCGTCAACGCAATTGAGTCAAAGGGTGTTCATAGATTCAGTGAAGTTTTTCCGGTACGTTCAGGCTCTTCCTAACCCCATGCCTTGTGCCGAAAGAATTTCATACTGATATATTGCGAGCGATATAGACCATGATCATAGTGTTTGACCAAAGATGCTGCGCCCGTGTACTATACGCCTACTTTGATGGTAGATTTCAGGTTCAATTTACCCCGGTCTTGAATTTTAAAGAATTCACCGAGATCAAGTCCTTAACCTTGGATGCTTACATGGGTCAGATTGACAAGAAGAAGTACTACGACATGATGCACTCACTGCTTCGTTGGGCGTGGCCTCTTGACCATTATCGCACCAGTATCGCTCAGCTCTAAGAACACGAAATTATGGCTATATGGAAACCATCATTTAGCTCCGCTGTCCCAGTATAGCTTTGAATGGCTCATTTATATGGCTATCTGAGGGCATCCGATCTTTATTTGGGGAAATTCTCTGTCTATATCGACTTTGCTAGGGCTGATGTGAGTGCCGCACCCCTCTGCAAACTAGTATGTAGGCTTTGCCAAATGAAGAAGTCTTGCAGATCTACATACTTGCCCCTGACAGACCAAACCCATGTAAAAAGCCCAAGCCCTAAGCCAAAGCCCTATATCATCCCTTATCGATAAGGCCAAACCGGCATATAATTTCTCCTGGCACGCTCATAGGTGGAAAAACCTCTATTAACGTTATCGGCTACGTAGCGGATCTTACCCCACCAAATAGAACAACCACCCCACGCTGCCCGGACCACCTCCGTTCTTTTTAGCGTGTTGGCCTCTCGGGCGACAACCACCTCCGAGTCCTCCGCTCCGATCACTCTGAATCTTCTCCGTTGTCAGTTTTCTCGGAGCGGGTCCACGGGACATTGTCCGACTGGAGAGAAGCAGCTAGATTGTAGCAATACGTAGTATATCCCGCGTGGGATGGATAGCGAAAGTTGTGCGATCCCCGCTTGTAGAATCTAAACTTTAGTGGCATTGATATACATCCCCTTCACCCCGCTTGTCTTCTTGTTTCTATTTTTCTTTTCTTACTTTTTGGTCCGTGTTCCATTCTTCAGACCAATCACTCATTCTTATCACAATGCCTTACCCCGAAGAAGCTGAGGGCTTCCAGGTCGACGGACCTAACAGCTTCACCCAGTTCCACAAGCGCTACGTATGTGCTCTTTTCTGTGTTCTGGTTAGGATATACGCTTATCTGGATTTATTACGCTGAATAGTTCAAGCTGAAGCCTTTCGGCGACTATGGTGAGTTAGGCTGTCGGTACCATTATGCTTGCTTCTAACCGAGTATAGACGTCGACATTAAGATTGAGGCCTGTGGCATATGTGGAAGTGATGTGCACACTATCAGCGGTATGGTAATCCCGTTGAAATACCAAGCAGAAACACCGACTAATGTATTCCTATAGGAGGATGGGGTGAACAAAAGTTCCCTCTGTGCGTGGGTCACGGTACGTATTCAAAAAGCAAAAAAGGGCTACTGTCTCATGCTAATGACCATCCTAGAAATCGTCGGTCGCGCAATCCGTGTTGGACCTAAGGTCACTCTGATTAAGGAAGGTGAGCGCGTTGGAGTCGGCGCGCAGTCCTACTCTTGCGGCAAGTGCAAGCAGTGCCTCAACGACAACGAGACATACTGCCAGGTTGAGCCTATGGACACCTACGGCTCGAAGTGGGCCGACAGTGGCGTCGTTAGCCAGGGCGGATACTCATCGCACGTGCGGACACACGAGCACTGGGTGTTCCCGATCCCGGACGCACTGGAGACCAACAAAGTGGCTCCGATGCTGTGCGCCGGTTTGACGGCGTACTCGCCCTTGGTGCGCAATGGTGCTGGGCCTGGCAAGAAGGTTGGAATTGTTGGATTGGGTGGCATCGGTCACTTCGGAGTCATGTTTGCCAAGGCGCTGGGTGCGGAGACGTGGGCTATTTCGCGCTCTCGCGCTAAGGAAGCGGACGCTCGCAAGCTCGGTGCTGACGGTTACATTGCTACTGCTGAGGAGGGATGGGAGAAGGATCACCTGTACTCGTTTGATTTGATTATCAACTGCGCTAACTCCTCGGAGGGCTTCGATCTTGCGCGCTATCTGTCTATGATGGATGTTCATGGGCGCTGGATCAGTGTTGGTCTTCCTGAGGAGGAGGGTCAGGTCATTAAGGCCCAGAACCTAATCTCTAATGGTGTTCTCATTGGTGCCAGCCACCTGGGTAGCCGTCGGGAGATGCTTGAGATGTTGCAGCTGGCTGCGGATAAGGGTCTTAAGGGTTGGGTGGAAGAGATCCCCATTGGAGAGGAAGGACTCAAGGAGGCCATGCTGCGCATGAAGAAGGGTGATGTTCACTATCGGTTCACTCTGACCGGATACGAGAAGATCTTTGGATAAAGGAGATATGATGTTCAGTATTGAGAATTATGTATATAGTCGGTGTCAACATACAAAATCCAGGAGGGGGGGTAGAGGGCTGGGGGTTAGGGGTGTTTATCTGAATAGATTGAAGTGAATTATTCTTCCAATATCGGCCTATCAGAGCCTGTCATCATCATCGTCTCGGATTTTCCTTCGAAAGCCTAATAATTGCCACCGGGGGATGTGTAGTCGGTACTTGGATCCGCAGCAGATCTATCGTGGCGATCCAAGTCACAGTTACTCCGCATTTTCCGTCCGGCTGTTTTCCCCCCAGGATTTGCCTCCCGACTCCTAAAAAAGTCTGAGCCTTGCAGGGGCGAGTACTCCCAAAGTATTCGGTACTTAATTCTTATAGCCAACTGTATCTTAAATCCCAGTACTAGTGACTCTTGGGGGAACTCGGTGGTCGAACCAATCACTCCCTAATTCATTCACCGCCTGACCCAGGCCCATTCGTTCTGCTTTCTGGAATTCTTCCGCCCTTTTTATCTTCTCCTTGCGCCGTCTTTTTTTCCTTTTGTTTGTCTCTGTATAGTTCATTCATTAATCTCTCTTTTTCATTCTCTTGGATCCTTGGAGTTTTGCGAATGGTCGTTGATATACATACTTTGTTAGACTTATCTCACAGAAACCCCCCAAGACCAAGCGTCACATCGGTCGATACCCGATAAAATAGACCGGACTCACAAAAGCGTCGACATTCTTTGTCTTAACATCCGCCGTCATATATTGCGTTCATATTCATCCAATTCCTGTTTAATTTGCCCTCGGCACACCAACAACCTCAGTCATGTCGCCACGAGAGACCAATGCCACCTCCGCAAAGCGACGCTCTTCGTTGTCGTTTCGTTCGCGCCCACGCACTGCAGGTCATGCTATCCCGACGTCAAAGGAGATGACTTTGGACACATGGGATGAGCCACGCTTGACGGAAATCTGCCAGGATGACCACACATCGGTCGTGGAAGAGATAGACCCGTTCCCGAACGTGGCTCCGCGACGCCGTGGTGCCAAGAGCTTTTCGAGTTTGAAGCATCCTGTGGATGGTTTGGTCGCTCTCGGCCATCGCCTGTCCGTCAGTCTTCGCAAGCCTTCCAAGCAAACAACTCCTCTCACCGAGGACACTAAATTGGTTGATAACGATGAAAACCGTTACTACCACCATAGTTCGAGCCATGCGAACCACAAGCGCATGGCTTCCGGTAGCTGGGATCTCCGGTCAACAAAAACACTTTGGCACCAGGGATATAGCGTCAATAGACGCCCTTCTTTGAATAGTGTGTCTGCCCTGCAGAGTTTCTATGCACCCACTGCCTCTATCCCTGCCCCCATCCCGGGCCGTGGGCAGGCACCTCCAGTTCTGCCAAATCACATGTCTGCAGGTGCAGCGGCGCGTGCCGCAGCCGCAGCCCAAAATGAGCAGATGGAGGCTGCGTGGAAAGCGGAATTAGAGAACAAAATGCTCGATTTGAGAGTTCCCCAGGACTCGGAGAGCGGTATTTGTATTGACTTGGGCGATCGATCGGATACGTCAGACAGCGAGTTGCTGGCCATGACACGACTCGGTAAGGATGAACACTCTGATGGGGAACGCACATGTTTTGTTAACTTCTCTTTTTTTCTCAGATCCCGTGGCTCTACTTCCGGCTGAGATTACATCACACATTTTTTCATATTTGGATCCTGATTCCCTCATGGACGCAGAGCTCGTCTCCCGCGCCTGGTGTCGTGCATCCTCTTCTCATGTTTGGAGGCATGTATTCCGCAATGCATATGGCCGTCGGCCATCAAGTGAGACGGCCTCCAAGGTGAAGCTGTCATCTGGTTTGGGGAAGTCAATCCCGAACCAGGACTGGAAGAAGAAGTTCCTTGTTCGGCGCGCTCTCGATCAGCGCTGGAAGGATGGCAAGGCTGCAGCCATTTACCTTCAAGGTCACGAGGACAGCGTTTATTGTTCCCAATTTGACGAGTAAGTTAACGTTGATATGTTGATGCCGTGCACCGCTGACAAGTTTGTAGGAACAAAATCATTACTGGCTCCCGTGACCGGACAGTTCGTGTATGGGACGCACACTATCCGTGGTCATGCAAGAAGATTATTGGGCCACCAGCGGCTCGAACTTTCCGTGATGGTCCAGTGAACAATCCAACTTTCCAGGCCACGGGAAAGGCCCCCTTTATGACTATTACCCCGCCGTGGCCCACGCCGGACGAAATAGCGGCAATTACAACACCATTAGAGAAAGAATCGATATACCACAGTGCATCAATCCTGTGCCTGCAGTTTGACGAAGAGATCATGGTCACAGGGTCTTCTGACTTTACCTGTATTATGTATGACGTCAAGGACGACTACCGACCAATTCGTCGTCTTTCCGGTCATCAAGCCGGTGTGCTTGATGTGTGCTTTGATGACCGGTACATCGTATCATGCTCCAAGGATACTACCATCTGTGTCTGGGATCGAAACACCGGTGCGCTTTTGAGGCAGCTCAACGGGCACGAAGGGCCAGTGAATGCTGTGCAGCTCCGCGGTGACCTTATCGTGTCAGCCAGCGGTGACGGTGTTGCCAAGATGTGGAACGTGATCTCAGGCCAATGTGTCAAGGAGTTCACCAGCAAAGACCGTGGCCTCGCGTGTGTCGAATTCAGTGACGATGGCCGGACCATCCTCACTGGCGGCAACGACCGCATAATCTATCAATTCGATGCTAACACGGGCGAGCTCGTCAACGAGCTCCACGGGCATTCAGGTCTCATTCGATCTCTGCATCTCGACAGCGCCAATAAGCGCATCATTAGCGGTAGCTATGACATGAGCGTCAAAATGTTCGACCGTGATACGGGTAATATGTCCATCGACTTCCCTGGCTGGACCACAAGCTGGATGTTGAGCGTGCAGTCCGATTATAGACGCAT